TTAAACTAGATTTGAAAAAGCTACCAATACTTTACCTACGATTTTTTCATTGTAATGTAAATAAAAATATATGTTATTTCATTTTAATCTCAGACCTAACTTAACCAAAGTTTCTTAGTAATTACATTTATTATATTTAATGAAAATTTTAAATAAACTTGGCATTTAACAATAAATAAAAAATAAAAAATAAATTATGTTATTCGAATTGCAGTTATCATAAGTACTTAAGCACATAATATTAATTTGAGTCAAGCACAGTAGATTATTCCTAGGTATTAAATATCATGTAAAACTATGTCCAGTTAAATATTTATTTGATTATGATTTGATTTTATTTTGTTTTTTATTATTATTTTATGAAAATACTTTACAAAGTTGTACAGTTAAGTCGTATACTTTCAAAACAATATACTTATTAATTTTTGTTCTATAAATACGAATTTAAAATTAAAAAAAAATAAAGGACATTAAAGAGTAGAGAAAAAAATAAAAAGGGCAAAAAGAGAAAATATGTTTGAAATAAAATTCTTCTTCAGGAGGTATGGAACAATACACAGAAACAAAGCTTTTAAAGTTAATATTATTTATAAAAATAACTAAATAACAAAAAACAATGCCTATTTCCGTATTTATTAAAATGATAAAACGTATAAATCGAGTCACATTAACTTATGATTCGTAGAATCTTAACTTTTTATAATTTAATAAGTGTTAGTTATGAATATTTATGAACTAGGTATTATTAAATATTGTTTAAGCAACAAAAATGATTCATTTATGTTCAGCGTGCGTCATATATCATTCATTAGCATCAAACTTTCATAGGTACTAAATAAAAAAATGTAAGCAACTTTAGAAAAATTGAAAGCATAAATATAAAACTTTAATGTAAGCTTGTAAACAATATTAAATGCTGTAAGCTTTTCGCGTTTAATATCATTCAACTCGCTGTCATTTAAATAACATCATATCTAAATATCTAAGTTGCAGTTTACATATATATAAATAGGTAAGAACCTCTAGACCATTTTAAAAACTCACATGTTAATGTAATTAAAGTCTTTTAGATTTAAATTACTAATGTGATTCTATACAACTATATGTCTATATTTAACATCAATTTTAAAGCTTTATATGCTCATTACTTATACTATATTATCTCAATTTTTAATACAATAATTAATTAAAAATTATGCATTTAATTTGTATCTTAAATAAAAAAAATATTATGTGCATAACAATGGCTTAACATTTATGCTTAATATTCAAAAATGTTGACCAAATTATTGTAAATATTTTTACAATACTTGTAATTATACATGTTGATGATAATCTAATTTAACCTAATCGAATTTTGAAAACACGATGTTTGCAAGACAATGATAACAATTATATTCATGTATTAAAGAATTAAAAATAATCAACATGTAAATTAGTTATGTCAGTTAAATTTTGGATAATTTGTTTTTTTTTAGTTAATATATGTATTGTGACAGTTTTCGTTTGTTTATGTTGTGGTAATGTTTTAAATGTACAATTTACCCATCAAGCTGTGAACTGTTATTAAATTTAGAAAGAATTAAACCCCATATTTAGTACTCATATATATATATATATA